GGCGGAGGGAACTGGGGCACAGCGGCTGTTGTCGATGACAGCAGCGCCTCACGCATCAACTTCTCTTGCAGCTCGGTTGCTTGCTTCCGCTTGTCGCCAGGTCCTTGCATCTGCTGCACCTGCTGCTGTCGTTGCTGCGGCTGTGGCTGTTGCTGCACTGGAGGTGTGCTCGGAAACGCCGTTGGCTGTGGCTGCTGCTGCTGTAATGTTTGTTGTGGCTGCTGTGGTTGCTGTAGGGTGTCTACACGTTGGGGCTCGGGTTGTAACAGCGGTAGCGGCTGGTGGTGTTGAGCGCTGGATGTCACTGCAACTGCCTGCCCATTATGCTGCTGCTGCTGTTGTTGTTGTTGCGTGGTTGTCGCTGTGGTCCAAGGGCTCGTGCGCGCAGACGCAGACGGTTGCACAACTAAACCAGTCATCAAAAGGTGGCGTGAGCAAAACGGCAGGTATCGAGCACATGTGCAGAGCAACAAGCGTATGCACACCGACACACACGCGCGCGCGCGCTCACACGCACACACACACAAAAACAAAAACAAACAAACAAAAAAAAAAAAAAAAAAAAAACAAAAAAAAAGCGCAGCAACACTCACCTCGAGCTGGCTGTGGAGGGGTGAAGATGTCACGAGACAGCGGCTGGCCGTGCTGGTCAACAGAGTTGCACACGCCAATAAACGGCTCCACGCGCGAACAGAACTCATCGATAATGTCAGCTATGGCATCGTCCCCGCCAGGCAGCGCCCCGCTGGCATCGGCAAGCGCGGGGTCTGCCCCGAGCGAAAGAAGCATGGCGACAAGGTCTTGGTCGCTGGCGTCGCACGCCCACGTCAATGCAGTGTGGCCTGCCTCGTCCACAATGGCCGCAAGAATGTCGGGCTGCTGCACAACAGCGTCCAGGAGCTTGTGCACTGCTGACATGCGCTCGCCACCGCGCGTGCCCGCAACGCCCGTCACGGCCTTTCGCGACTCGTCCATGGATGAGGTGCACACCTGTGCCAGCCGCTCGGTGACGGCGGTGGTGCGGCGCTGCGCTGCTGCCAACGCCTTGTCGCCCCTAAACATGTGTGACATGCACTTGTGCCCGCTGATGGCCAGCAGCAGGTGGTGGACGTACTTGGTGAGCGAGAGCGTGGACAGCTGCGCGGCGCACGACGACGCAGCGAGATTGCGCATGCACGCACGACGCGCCTCCCCCACGACAGCAGCGAGGATGGCAGGAGCCATCACCCACAGCTCCTGCAGGCGTCGCTTGACAGCACCGGGGCGCCCAACGCCAGGGATGCCCTCCATCTCCACCAGCTCGGCCCGCACCATCGCCACGATGCGCGATGTCGGCGTGACCAGCGACCCCCACATGCCGCTGTTGTCCCCTTGCTCGTCGTCGCTGCTGTCGCCGCTGTCATGACGACGACGGTGGTGGTGGTGTTGGCGGTGGCGGCTGCGGCGGTTTGAATGATGATGACGACGATGATGGGGAGGGGAGCGGTCCCGCTGTCCGCGTGCGCGCGTTTGCTTGCGTGTGGGCGTGCGTGGCGCGGTGTGCGGCCCCTGCACGAGGGCGTAGCTGTGCGGAACGTACTGCCCCTCCATCAGCACGGCGTCGAAGATGGGCAGCATGCCTCCCAGCGGCACGGGCGCGCCGGCCAACACCAGATGGGGCACGTCCAGGCACCCCGCGGCGGCGATGAGGTTGAGGGTGAAGCGGGCGGCGTCGGCTACGCTGGCGCAGGCGACGCGAATCACAGCAACGCCAGTGCCGCAGTCCGCACCGCCGCCATCACGCGTATACGAGCTGCTGCTGTCGCCGTCATCATCGTCGTCGACGCCGAGGTGGGGGCGGAAGGACGGGCTGAAGCTGCGGCCCATCGCAGCGAGGCCGCTGAAGGGCGGGAAGTTCACACCAACGCCGCCGCCGCCGTTGGCAAAGGGAAGCGGGTTGTCGCGTGCACACCCGCTGTCGCCCCTGCCCCTGCATGTGGTGCGCGGCACAGCGCAGTGGGCGCCGTCAATGTGGAAGTGGTCGTCGTCGGTGTCGTCGGCGTGGAGCGGGCGAACGGTGGCAATGACAACGGGGCAGCGCACGCACTCGCGCCACTTTGCAACCTGCTCCGTCTCCGTCTCCATGGCATCTGGCGTCTCCGTGGCCAGCACCACGTGCGTGCACGCGGCGATGCAGTCCAGCGCATCCTGTGCGACCATGCAGTCCTTGCCGTTGAACAGCTTCAGATACTTCATGCGCGCGTCCATCGTGTCCACCAGGTCGTGGATGTCGGCCTCTGGCAGGAGAATCACGGCCGGTGCGGAGCGCGGCAGGAACCGGGAGAGCTGGAGGGCTTGCTCGAGCGACCGCACGGCTTGCACCTGCGGCTCGCCAGAACCACACTCGCTGGCGGTGGCGCTGGTGCGGCGGCTGCACACGGACGACCCGTAGCCAAAGCCGGCAAACGCAGGCGCGGACGTGGACGCAGAGATGGCGCGTGGGCTCGGCGTGTAGGATGAGCGGGTAGGGAGGCTGTGGAAGCCGTTGACGAGAGAGTGGACGTTTGAGGAGGGTGTGCGGGTGCCGCTGCTGATGGCTCTCCGGCACGTGCTACTTGCTGCGGTGTTATAGCTGTTGCTGTTGCTGGCGTGAACGGAGGTCGAGGCTGTGGTTGTGACGTCTGTGTCGCCGACGGCGAATACGACGGCGTCGCGCTCAAGGGTGAAGGTAGGGCCGTTGTAGGCGGTGTCAGCAACGATCCGCACAGAGTCGTGGAACCCACAGCGGCGGGCGGGCTTGTGCCTTGGCCGTGCGCGAGCAGAACAAACGGGGCTGTAGTGTGCGTGAGTGAAGGGGGGGGGGGGTTGCGTGTGAGTTTGTGTGTGTGTGTTTGTTTGTGTGTGTGTGTGTGTGTGTGTGTGTGTGTGTGTTTGTGTGTGTGTGTGTGTGTGTGTGTGTGTGTGTGTGTGTGTGTGTGTGTGTGTGTGTGTGTGTGTGTGTGTTGGAGGGACAGGCGATGGCATGAGACCAACAGGATAGCAAAACACAATAAATGACAAGCACAAGCACCTGTCCACAAACAAAACAGCATCAACAAACCAACAGTATCGACAAAGAAAACACCATCGACAAGGAAACAGAGCAAACAAACAGAGCAAACAGCGTCAACAAGACAAAAACCCCAGGAGGACAGTCAGTTCATGACGTACCGCTGCATACACGATCGAAGCGGAAAGTGGTGATGGGAGTAGCTGCACCAACAGGCCAAGAGTTCACCGACTTGACCAGTTCACAAGCACCCAAGTGATAGGGGAGAGTGAACAAGGGCGCTTTTTGCACGGAACAGCACCTGCGAACACAAGCAAAACGCCGCCAACGTCGTTTTTGGATGGTCGACACACACAAACGCATGATGGCATGAGTTCCGATCAAAGGGAGTCAGATCGCTTGATGACACAAGCGAACAGAAAGGCCTTGTTCAATGCACGGCATCAGCCGCCACTACCACCACCGACATCCAACAATCACACCATGTCTCAACACACACAAGCACCCACAAGCACACACAAGCACGGATGGGACACATCCATCTCACAGAATCGGTCTCTGCGCCACACGTCAATGCTGACCTCGCTTCGCTGAGCCGTGCGTGATGCGACACAGAACCTGCAAAAAAATTGCGCGTACGCACGCAGCCTAAACAAAGTGATGGCGCGTGCGCTCTGTGTGCATCGGCAGAGGGATGTGGTGTTTTGATGGCTGGCTGGGCTGCACTGGGTGGCTGCTTCGGAGTATGCGCTGCTGCGTTCTTGCGTGCTGGCAGGTGCCATCAAGGTGCTGCAGGTTTGTTTGTGTTTGGGCAATGACGAATAGCATGTGAAATCATACGCAGATTTTCGTCAAGGTCGGCAAACAACGGCGACAAAGACAACAGCGACGAGTGTGCGTGGGCAAACCTCTCTCGCATCAGGACTCACATCAGCTTCAACCAAACGAGTCAGTGAGCCAGAACCAGAAGTGGACTGGACTGGACTGGACTGGACTGGGCTGAAGCGGAGGTGTTGAAGCTGGCGTCGCTGCAGGAACAGCTGCAGGAACGGCGGGACAAGCTGCGCCCAACAGAGACGGTGGTGCGGCAAGGACCGGCGCACTTTGTGGTTGACACGGAACCGGACTTGAAGGTGGCACGGGTGCTGGACCTGAACGTCTTTGTCGGCAGTCAGGACGCTGCAGCGGACATTGACACGCTGCAACGACACGGAATCACACACATCCTCAACGTCTCTTCAACCCCATTGCCTCCTCCTCCACCACCACCACCACCAACAACAACAACAACAACAACGAGCGGAGACCCAACAGCAGCAGCACAACAACCGCCAGCACCAACAACGCTGCACGTGCCTCTGCTTGATCTTCCCGAGACCCAATTGAGCGACGTCCTGCCCCAAGCATTCGCGTTTATTCGCACTGCGGACCGCGTCCTCGTTCACTGGTGCGATTAAGCTGTTGGATGTTGTGGTGTGTTGTGGTGTGTTGTGTTGTGGATGGCGGTGTGGTGTGTTTTGGCTTTGTGTGTTTTGGCTTTGTGTGTTTTGTTCTGTTTTCGGTGCACTCGCTTGTCTTCACGAACATACACCTCCTCACTCACATCCCGCTTGTGGCACGATGATGAACAGCAACGCCGGTGTTTCGCGATCCGTCTCGGTCGCTCTCGCCTACTGTATCGTGGAGAAGGTGTGGCTCTGCACACAGTGCTTGCCGTGCACGTATGATGTGATGCAATGAGGCCTGTCGCTGTGGACGCTCAACGATCACACACACACACACACGCACATACACACACACAATCACTCACACACTCACACACACACACACTCGCTCACATATACGCGCATACACACACTCTCATATACGCGCATACACACCCTCTCACACACAAACACACACACACACACCTGCGATAGGGTGTTGCCCTTTCGGCTGCGTTTGAAGACTTGAAGGCAAAGCGGCCAGCTGTCCGTCCAAACGCTGGGTTTTGGCAGCAGCTCACCGTCCTCGAGCAACAGCGGTTGCAGTCAGCACAAGATCCAGGGCAGACACGCTAGCTCCAACACACAGCGCATTCAACACGCAAACTCCCACAGGGCAACGACAACCATGGCTCAATTGAAGCAGCTTCACAGCGGTCGTGGTATTCCCTCGCTCCGCTTCATCGTTGGCACGTGCCTCCTCATCGCCGCCGCCACAACACTGCTGGCATCCGCCGAGAACGTGCAGGTAAGCACTCGTGTGTGTGTGTGTGTGTGTGTGTTTATGTCTGTGTGGGTGTGTTTATGTCTGTGTGTGTGTGTTTATGTCTGTGTGTGTGTCTGTGTGTCGTAGCGCGCGAGTGTTACCGAGGCATTTCCACATTGCCCCCACTCACGCACTCACTCACTGCGCATATGCTCCCGCATTTGTGCAATTCCGTGGTGAAATGACAGGTGCACTTGATCCCGCACAGGTATGGTGACATTCGACATCCGTGTGGCCCTTCATGGCCACACCGTGTCATATGTACTTTGACTGGTTGCGTGTAGGTCACAGTCTTTCACATATGTGTGTGTGCGTTTTCATTTGTGTGTGCAGCCACCAAGATCCTGGGTACCGCGAAACGGTTTATGGCTACTGGAGGTATGTATGTGTCTCTGAGGCAAGCAGTGCGCGTCTGCACAAGCGCGGCCCGGTGCTGACTTCTTCAACAACATTTGTTGTTCCATCGCATTCTTTCCCCACCTCCTCTCCTCACGCAATCACTGCAAAACACATCCACGCAACACCACGTCAAACACTACCGACACATGTGTACAGGGACAGCGTTTCGGACACGCTGCGCACGACCGTCCAGGCCCTCCAGGACGACCCAACACGCAGGTGTGTGTGTGTGTGTGTGTGTGTGTGTGTGTGTGTTTGTGTGTCTGTGTGTCTGCGTGTGTATCTCTGTGTCTGTGTGTGTACATGCCTCCTGAACTCTTCCACTTTTGTGGACATGCGCGTTTTCCATCCTGTTCCACCATCCACATGCGCTGTGTGTGTGTGTGTGTGTTTCAGGTTTGTGTGGGAGGAGACCATTTGGCTGCGATATCTGTGGGAGAGCGGTGACGCCGACACGATCAACGGCATCCAACACCTCGGTGCGATGGCCGTCATGGTTGTGCTGCTGGTAGTGCTGCTGGTAGTGCTGATACAGGTGCTGTTGTTGGGCAGTGATCGGGTGAGGGACGGTGGTTTTGTGAACCGGTTGAATGCTGTTGTAAACAACAACAACATCATCATCATCAATACGGCCAAGTGCGCCACTGACGCCCATTTGTCTCGCACCATTCTCCTCCTTCATCATCCGCCATCCCATTCCCACTTGCAGTGAAGAACGGGCAGCTGGAGCTGATTGGCGGCGGATGGGTGATGCACGATGAAGCAGGCTCCTCCCTCTGGTCAACCGCAAACCAGATGACAATCGGACTGGACTTTCTCTTTGACAAGTTCAAAACGCGTCCAAAGTGGGCGTGGCACATTGACCCCTTTGGGCACTCTGGTCCGTTCACGTGTGTGTGTGTGTGTGTGTGTGTGTGTGTGTGTGTGTGTGTGTGTGTGTGTGTGTGTGTGTGTGTCTGTCTGTCTGTCTGTCTGTTTGTGTGTGTGTGTGTGTGTCTATGACTCTGTGCCTGTACGTGTGTCTGTGTCTATCTGTATGCTTCCATGTCTCTCCATCTTTGTCTGTGTCTGCCTGCTTGCATGCCTCCACTCGCACGAACAACTCATTGCAACACCACGTTACCTCTTGCACGTCCACCAACCAACCGCCAGTGACATCTCCCTCGGTGTTTGCGTCGCTCGGCTACTCTGCGTTTGTCATCAACCGCATCCCCGACGACGAGAAGCAGGAACGCAAAGCCAACCGCTCGCTCGAGCTCCTCTGGACCGGATCAACGGCCCAGCACCCAGACAGCACCCTCCTCGCACACGTCCTCGACTCCCACTACGCGTCAGTTGTGCAGGAGTTGCTTGCTTTGTGTGTGTGTGTGTGTGTGTGTGTGTGTGTGTGTGTGTGTGTGTGTGTGTGTGTGTGTGTACGCTTCTTGTTGGTGGTGGGCTTGTGGTCGTGACTCTACCCCTGCCTGCACGCGTAACTGTCTGAATTCCTCCACTTCGCCTACACTCTTTGCTTTCGCTTACCCAATGCACTGGTGCCCACTGCCTTTCTGGTAGGGACAACCGCGCGATCCTGCGGGCGCTGGAGACGGCGGCGGAGAAGCGGCACCTCGATGCCTGCAGGCAATTCCAGCAGTTTGGCACTTACAAGGCCGCCCTTACACACGTGGTGCAGATGGTGCACGCACGTGCACGCGGCGACGGCGGAAACCGCGACTTGCGACCGCACCACCCGTCCCAGCAGCAGCGGGAGGAGGATGCTGCTGTCCGCATCCAAAGGGTGTGGAGGGGCGTGGCTGCGCGTCGCCGCATTGCCTGCATGCATCGCGGCGTGCGTGCGCTGCAGCTCATCTTCCGAGCGAAGCGGCTGCGGCGGCGACGGAAGCAGCAGCAGCACTACCAACGGCAGGAGGAGAGGGCGATGGCTGCGGATGTGTACAGGGACGGCGTGGCTGAGGGAACGCGAGGCCCTGGCCAGCCACCTCAGGTGTGTCTGTCTGTCTGTGTGTCTGTGTGTGTGTGTGTCTGGTCCAGACCGCGTGATCCCGACAATCTCGCTCATCTTTGTCTGTGTCTGCCTGCTTGCATGCCTCCACTCGCACGAACAACTCATTGCAACACCACGTTACCTCTTGCACGTCCACCAACCAACCGCCAGTGACATCTCCCTCGGTGTTTGCGTCGCTCGGCTACTCTGCGTTTGTCATCAACCGCATCCCCGACGACGAGAAGCAGGAACGCAAAGCCAACCGCTCGCTCGAGCTCCTCTGGACCGGATCAACGGCCCAGCACCCAGACAGCACCCTCCTCGCACACGTCCTCGACTCCCACTACGCGTCAGTTGTGCAGGAGTTGCTTGCTTTGTGTGTGTGCGTGTGTGTGTGTGTGTGTGTGTGTGTGTGTCTTGTGTGTGTGTGTGTCTCTGTCTGTCTCTCTGTCTCTGTCTGTCTGTGCTTGCTTGATGCTTGCTTTGTGCAGTTCGCAATGTCGGTGACAGCCCACTCTCACATCAACTCCCGCCTCCTTCATCCACTCCCCACCACCACCTCACCACCGGCAGCACGCCCGTTCTGCCCGGCGTCACGGCTGCGGAGAAGGCGAAACAGCTCGCCGAGCAGTGCGCACAGCGAGCCAAGTACGCCACTGCTGAAGATGGGTGTTTGGGCACCTCGTGTGTGTGTGTGTGTGTGTGTGTGTGTGTGTGTGTGTGTGTGTGTGTGTGTGTGTGTGCTGTTCCGGATCTGGTGCGCCGACGGCATGGTGCATCCATGTTTCACGCTCACCTCCACCATCGATACACACCTATGCACACACATGTGTTAGGTGGTATCGCACGAAACACGTGCTGGTTCCCTTTGGAAACGACTTTGAGTTCAAAGACGCGAGGCTCCAATTTGACGCCATGGACGAAATTCTTCGCATCATCAACAACGTATGTGTGTGTGTTGTTTGTTTGGGTCATGCAGCGAAGATGCGCTCCTTCTCTTCGCTTCCATCCTCATTTTCCCCCACTCAATTCCATTCACAATAACACACACAATACTACACATGCACACAACCACACAACCACGTACGCCACGCTCCTCCCCCCCCCCCTCTCCCGAAGGACCCTGCGTCCCACTCGAACGTCACCATCAAGTACAGCACGCTCAACGAGTACTTTACGGCCCTTCACGCTGATCCCAACGCCGTCTTCCCAGCAGCTGCGCCAGGTACCACCGATGGCCGTGTGGTGGTGGTGGTGACCGTGGTGGTGTGCCGTACACCGTGTGCTGGTGCTTGTGTGTGTGTGTGTGTGTGTGTGTGTGTGTGTGTGTGTGTGTGTTGTGTGTGTGTGTGTGTGTGTGTGTGTGTGTGTGTGTGTGTGTGTGTGTTTGCAAGCGAATGTTGTCAATGACTTCTCCTTTCTGCGACCCACCACCGCCACTTCCAACACCAACCATCACCAACCACCACCACCACCAGGCAAGGACTTCTTCCCCTACATTGCGTGCAGCCCCTGCACCGCCTCCAAGTGCATTGGCCTTCCCTGCGGTTCGCGTGACGCGTATTGGGTTGGATACTACACCTCCCGCCCGCACCAGAAACTCATGTCCTTCAAGCAGGTGTGTGTGTGTGTGTTTGTTGTGTGTGCGTGCGCGTGTGTGTATGTGTTTGTTATGTGTGTGTGCGTGTGTGTGTCTGTGTGTGTCTGTGTCTGTGTCTGTCTGTGCCTGCGTGATTGTCTCGCAAACAGGTTTTGGTCGCGGTTACATGTGAATTGCTTGGTGTTCCCATCTTTCACATGTGCACACACACTCACACACACACACAAACACATACGCAAACACACACACGCGCGCGTTCAGGACGCCCTTGCCCGCTCCCTGAACATCCTACAAACGCTGCAGCGTCACGCCACCACCACTGATACTACCGCCACCACCAGTACAACAGGCGTGGCTGACGCTGACCTTGTTGTGACGACAGCCCGCAACACGTCTGGGCTGATGCAGCACCACGACGCGCTTCCAGGGACGTCGTTCAACTACTGCACCATCAGCACATCGGAGTGTGATTGCGTTGCGGACTACAACAAGCGCATCGCCGCTGCTGCACAGAGCAGCGACAACCTCATCGGCAACATCGAGGCGAAGCTGCTTGGTGAGTTGTCTTTGTTTGTTTGCTTGTTTGTTTGGTTTGTTTGTTTGTTTGTTTGTTTGTTTGTTTGTTTGTTTGCTTGTTTGTTTGTTTGTTTGTTTGTTTGTTTGTTTGTTTGTTTGTTTGTTTGCATGCGTTTGAGTGACTGTGTGTGGTCTGCCGCTTGCATTCGTGTTCACGTCTTCTCACACCACACAAACACGCGCACCCTCCGCTGCTGCGTCGTAGGCGTGCCCGGGAACGTGAGCGTGGTGACGGCGGCAACCCTCGCCAACTCGTCATACTCCAGCCCAGAGTGGACCATATTCATCAGGTGCGTTGTGGACAGATGTGGTGGCCGTGGCATGTCTTGTGTGCTGCATGCAGGTGCAGTGTGAATTCTCACGACGTTCCACACACACACACACACACACACACACACACACACACACACATACACACACACGCACGCACACGCACACACCACACCACACACACACACACACGCACACACGTACGCACACACACATTACTTATCCACTCACGTTGTACCCCCTCCCCCCTCCCGTGCAACTTAGCAACCCTGTCGCGTGGCGCAGGCGGGACGTGGTACAAGTGGACATTGCCGGGGTGACAACCAGCCGCGTCATCAACGTCAAGACGGGCGAGATTGTGCCGTCGCAGGTGGTGGTTGATCCGCTTCGAGGAAAGAATTTTGTGTACATTGCCGTGGACCTCCCACCGCTCGCCATTGCCACCTACCGCCTGGAGCTCGGCGTCGTTGATCCACAGCAGCAGCAGCAGGAATCCTCCTCCTCCTCCTCATTTTTTTCTTCTTCTTCCTCTTCTTCCTCCTCGTCCCTGTGCAACGGCGCGGTGTGCATCACGTTCAGCAGCACCACGGGACGGCCCACAGCGTGGGTTGACCTTGCGTCCGGCACCACGCACGCGCTCAACGTGGACCACGTGTACATGCGCGAGCGCACGCCCGTGGATGCGGACATCTTCTCCGGCTCCAACGTGTACGACTTCACGCCGGACGGCACGTCCACCTCTCTATGGCCGGCCCGCCCCACGCTGGTCAGCGTCGCTAATGGCCCCATCGTGTGGGAGCAGACGGCCACGCTGAGCGGGGACATGTACGTGTCGTTCCGCCTGTACAACGCGTCGCTCGTCGACGAGACACAGCGGTCTCTGCAGGTGCAGACTCACACGGGCGTGATGACATCGGCCTCTTCGGGCTCCATGCTCATGCGCGTGAGCACAGATGTGAAGAGCGGAACTGCGTTCTTCACGGACAACAACGCGTTCCAACGCAAGCACCGCACCTTTGACTCGTCCTTGCCTTACTCCGGCAACTTCTACCCCGTCGTCGGCGCAGCCATTGTCACGGATGCAAACACGACCGCACGCCCTCGTGCCCATCGCGACAGTGACAGTGGCGGGTTCGCGCTCTCGCTGGCGGCTTCTCGCCCAACAGCCGTGACTTCGCCGGCAAGCGGCGCGCTGGAGATGATGCTGCACCGCCGCATCATGGACCTTGACCTCCGTGGAAACGACAGCAGTGTGATGGACGACGTGGTGCTGGTGACGCTCGCCCCCGCATCTGTGGTGCAGGCCCGTGCTGCCAAGATGAGCACGCTGCACCTGCTGCCCGTGACAGTGCACGCTGTCTCTGGGCGCGTGACGCCAAAGGTGGCGACCTTCGCGCCAATGCCCAAGGCGCTACCAGATGGCGTGCATCTGCTCGATGTGCGGCTGCGCGGGAGCGGGTTTGATGAGGGCGTGGGGATGTGGCTGCAGGGCCTCGCTGGTCTTGATGGCGGGAAGGTGGACCCGAGTGAGGTGCTGCCCTGTCTGTCGACGCGCGATTGGGAGCGCACATCGCTGGACTTCCGCCTCTCCATCAACGAGACACGCAGCGCCAGGCTCAAGTGGAAGAGCGACAGCAGCACTGCCGACGGCCAAGAAGGCCACGCAGCGGCCACTGCTGCCGTCAATGTCAAGCCAGAGTCATTCCTGGCCTTTGCTTCCTGAGTGCATGATGTGTGTGTGTGTGTCTGTGTGTGTGTGTGTGTCTGTGCACTTGAAGCTGCTTTCCTTCCTTCCTTCCTTTCATCTTGAGTTACATTGCGTTTACTTCGTGGACTGAGTGGCGTTGTGCCTTTGTTGTCACCGCGGAGTGGATGAAGCTGAACAGATGCCCCTTGTTGGCGAAGTGATGAAACAGGCGAACGAACGAACAAGGGAAGGGGCTTGCAGTTGTCGCATCATCATCCCTCGCCACTCACCACAAAAACCACACAACGACAGCAACAAAACCATGCGGTGGCGACAAGGGCTGGTGTTGATGATAACGGTTGTGGCGTTCGCTGTGGGGAATGTGGTGCTGTTGATGCACACGACCACGCAGGTCGTACACGAGCACAACGAGCAGCAGCAACAACAACAACAGCAGCAGCAGCAGCGGTGGCGACGGGGAGAGGACAGTGCCGATTTGTTCGCGTGGGGCGCAACACAGGACATGTTGTTGCGGGTGTCTGTGCTGATGCGCGACTTTGAGCTGTGGACCAACGATGTCGCCGGCACCATTGAGCACGCCGTCGCAGCTGTCGACCCAATCGCCCGAGTCCAGCAGGTGAGCAGGCCCGCTGGGATGGTGCACACGCCAGCGCATGAGCGTGGTGGAACGTCTGTATGCATGTATGCATGCTTGCTTGCAAGCACGCATCGTGAGTCTGATCCCTGCATGCTTGCTTGCGTGCATCTCTGTGGATGTTGCAGGTTGTTGTTGCGGCGCCCAGGCTGCCGTACCCACCCATCACGGTCCCGCGGGAGCTTCAACCACAGACGCAGGTTGTGTCGACCGCCCTGGGCATATTCGAGGACAGCACGGGCTCTCTCCAGTCCCGAGACATTCGCTTCACCGGCGGTGAGCACTATGTTTGATGTGGGTGTGTCTGTGTCTGTGTGTGTGCCTGTGTCTGTGTCTGTGTGTGCCTGTCTGTCTGCCTGTGGTCAGGTGTGTCTGTGTCTGTGTCTGTGTCTGTGTCTGTGTGTGCGTGTGTGTGCGTGTGTCTGCCTGTGGTCAGGGTACATTCAAGTGGCGTGCGAGTGCTGATGTTTGCTCGTGTTTGGTGTGCAAGCAGACTTGGTGCTGGCAGTCGTGGATGGGCTTGATCTTCGGGAGTGCGCCGCCGACGTGAGCCGGTGGATATCGCTGCACCGACAGCGACTGTTGCAGCTACGCAATCGACAAGACACGAGAGCAGATGTTGCAGGTCGCGCCAGCCGTTCATGCTTCATCTCCTTCCTCCACGCCATGCCCCGCACCGTTTCCGGTGAGCTCGTGAGGTAGACGCAGCGCTGGTTGATGGCAGCAGAACTGTGTTCCTGTATTGCTTCTTGCACGCATGCACACACACGCATGCACACACGTATGCACACCCACTCACTCACTCATACCCACACGTCTGCGCGATGCGTGCATGCAGGGACGTTTGAGTGCTCCTCGGCATTGTTTGATGTGAAGCGGTGGACCCTGCGCGTCTCGACAACCGAGTATGCCGTTGTTGCCTCTGACCGACATCATGCGAATGACATGAGCCTGAACACCACTGTCGTTTACTGTAGCTTTCGTTCACACCACACCTCCACCATCACCATATCCTCGATAGACTGCCACGTCCACCAAAGGGTGTTCTCGCGCAGTGCAACTACACAGCAGGTGCGCAACAGCAGAAATGAACGAGTGGGCGCGTTGTGTGTGTGTGTGTGTGTGTGTGTGTGTGTGTGTGTGTGTGTGTGTGTGTATGTTCGGTAAGGTGCTCGAGCCACATTGCTGCCGGGTGCCCTGATCAGCCACTCGCATGCAATCACTTGCACATCACACGTGCGTGTGTGGCATCAACAGAAGTGCAGACTGCCGTGCTGGCCGATGCTGAAACGTTGCGGTTGCTTCGCTGGGATGAGCTAGAGCCCATGAGCCGCGGCCTCTTGCTGCAGGTAAGGGCGTGTGTGTGCGTGCGTGTGTGTGTGTGTGTGTGTGTGTGTGTGTGTGTGTGTGTGTGTGTGTGTGTGTGTGTGTGTGTGTGTGTGTGTGTGTGTGTGTGACGGCAGCTGTGACACCTACGTACCAGAATTAATCTCAACCTGCACACGCACAACACACGTTCGCGTACGGTAGGCACACGCAAAGCAGTGCACGATCGAGCAGTATGTGTCCCCGCACCTGGACGTGCCCAACCGAGCCCATGACATCTTCAACACACCCCACCTCCAAGGTGCAGAACCGTCTGCTGTGCTGTGTGCCTCTGGCTTGCTCCCTATCTTGTTTGCTCACCTGCACATGAGCAGAGAGTATGACAGCTACGCTCACACACATGACACTCAACATGCAGACAAGCATGTGCGCTACAGTGAGCAGCGTGCCGCGTCGCTCTATCAGCAGCTTGGCATCAAGCGCGTGCAGCACCCCAGCCTTGGCACAGAGGAGTGGTATGGCTGCCACAAGGTGAGCCGTTGTCGTGATGAGAGGCAACAAGCGTCTCCATGTCGCCACCAAGTGGGATACCTGCTCTACTCACACGTGTGTGCTCTTCAGCATAGCGTTGGCATTACTTCGAGCCGAACGTTGCTTGGTTCGCCGTCCTTGTTTCACGCATGTCTCTTCTGGACCGTGGTTGCAACAGAACTCTGCCCGCTGCTTTGGCACCGTTGTACACGACACGCCCGAATACATCTTCCAAGGTGTGTGTGTATGTGTGTGTGTGTGTGTGTGTGTGTGGGTGTGTGTGTGGGTGTGTGTGTGGGTGTGTGTGCGTGTGAGTGCGTGTATGTGGCATGCATGGGTCGTGTCTACCGTTGCTCGCGCCACCTTGCTGACACGCTTACATTCAACACCTTGCTTGTTCCTTGTGGGTTGTTGAACCTCTTCCACAGGGAGGTGGACACCGCCTTGTTGTCTTGAGAACATCCGCAAAACAGCAAGGTAGATGTGCTGTGTGATGTCACATGTGTTCGTTCGGTACGCGTTGCACCTTTCGTGGCTCTGCGATACTCGTTCCTGTCCCCAAAATCCTCTCATCCCACCGCCGCCGCCACAATGCAGGTACCTGTTCCGTGTGCTGAATGCCGCGGGTGTGCGGTATTGGCTGGAGGGCGGTACGCTGCTTGGCGCTGTGCGACACGGCGACATCATTGAGGTGTGCTGACGATAGGCACGTAGATGGTGGCGGTGGGCATATAGATGGTGATGCTGCTGCACCTGTGGTGCAAGTGTGAGTGTGGTGTGGATGTGTGATGCAAGTGTGAGTGTGGTGCGGATGTGAGTGTGATAAACACACCATTTGATTGACAAACAACAGCAGATCGTGCGTGACCCTCGATTCAACAACGCTTTCTTGCTTGCACATGTGTTGCAGTGGGACTACGACTGCGATGTTGGCATCTTCTTGGATGATGTGGCCAAAGTGCCCGAGCTCAGCCACGCTGCAACACAGGTGTGGGTGGGGCATGTTGCCTGCAGGCACGAGTTGCACCGTGTGACGCAACGCCATCGCCATACATTCACATACATACTCACCCATGCACGCACATGCATGCCTTTGTGCTGCTGCAGGGTTCACACGAGACCGCGGATGGGTTTGTATGGGAGAAGGCGCGAGAGGGCGATTTCTTCCGCGTGCAATTCAGCAAGTTCAACCACTTGCACGTGGACATCTTTCCCTTCTACGAAAAGGATGGCGTCATGACAAAGGTCGTGGCGCAGTTTGCGTGTAAATATGTGTGTGTGAACATGTGTGTGTGTGAACATTTGTGTGTGTGTGTGTGTGTGTGTGTGTGTGTGTGTGTGTGTGTGTGTGTGTGTGTGTGAAGCTTGCGTTCTGCGTCTTCTTGTCCCATCTGCAACCGCTGACGTCCGAATATGTGCCCAATCTTCCATCTCACCCCGTTTGGGTTTTTGGCGACTGTTTGCGTTCTGCAGGACACGTGGATGGAGTCCCACCGTCAGGATATGGGTACGGTACAACAAACACTGCTACTGCTGCTGGTACTTGGCTGGTCCTGCTGCTTTTCATCAATTGTTCGGTCCTTTCAAACCACTTCTTAACCCACCAGCCCACTCATCCAAACACATCGACCACGACATGCAGAGTTCCCCAGCTCGTACCTGCACCCGCTGGATACCATCACCTTTGTCGGCGTTGATGTGCGCATTCCAAACCGCGCCAGAGAGTTTCTCGAGATGAAGTTTGGGCCGGGCTGCATCGAGCATCCGCGCCTGCCGGGGCCATCAGCATAGGCAACAACAGCAACAGCACAACCAGTCCCTGTCCCGCCGCTACCACCACCACGCCCTGCAATAACAACTACTCACGTCGGCATCGCTCGAGAAGCGCAGCCCAGCTGCTGGGCCCGACGCCGCGGGGCCGGTCACTGTCGCTCTTCCCTCAGAAGTCGCCAACAGCAGCAAACGCAGCAAACACAGCAGGTGGAGCGAGAACCTCCACGACAACGATGATGATGATGATGTCGCCGGCCAGTCCGTCGGTAATGGCGCGATCACGTGCGGGCGCCAAGAGCACACCGCTGGACCCGGCCCACCCCATGCAGCAGCGCTACGCTGACATGCACGTGCACAGGCTTTGAGAGGCGGGGTTAAAGAAGCGGAGTGTGTTTGCTGGGCTGACCGTGGTGAACGAACATCTGTGTGTCAGGACGATAGCGGGGTTTGGGTGTGTGTATGCGAACGCTGCCATCGTCAGACAAGAGAGAGGGACGAATGGTAATGAGGGCAGTGTGTCGCACACACACACACAAGGATAGCTTTGTTCGATTTTTGTTGTATTGCTTTGTATCACAATGTCACACATCTTGTTCATGCACAACAACAAGTAAACAAACGCTCAAACCGAAACACGCACGCAGCAAAGACCCACGCAAACATTGCAGTGCAGTGAAGATGCAAGACAGCATGACAACACGATGACGCAAGCGGTAGTGAAGATGCATGCGCGTCAGTCGAGGAAGTGTGCCGTCTCGAGAAATGCTGCCATGACATCGGCAGCCTTGCGGGCTGCAACGGGCCGGAACACATTGCGCTGGTCCTTGTGCGTTTCATGGGCGCCTGTTGCTGCTGCTGCTGTTTCTGCATCGGCGCGGGCACGACCCATCACCGCTGCATTGTGCTTCTTGTTGGCCTTTCTGCGTTTGTCAAAGGCCTGGTTGCCCGTCTTCTTACCCTTCAGCTTACTCGCGTCGCTCACTGCCTTGATGACGGGAAGCGCCTTGACCTTGGACATGGCATCCCTGGTGTCGCCATCTCCCTGCGCCATCCGCACGGCCTTGAAGAAGGCAAACGCCTCCATGTCCAGGCCATCCGTCTTTCCCACCAGCGCCGTGCAGTCCTCGCGCACCTGCGGGTACGTGTACAGCACGCCGTCCTTGTGCACCGTCAGCATTCCCGGCATCTTGAATGAGACGCCCTGGTTGTCTGCGACATCGATGCAGGCATTCTGGTACGACGTGTTATCCTTGGCTGACTGGAAGTAGTAGTCCTTGGTGCACAAGCGAAACTCCTCCTTGTCGTGCGCAGACTTGTCAATCTTCTCACCACCGCTGCCAGTGGACACCATTCGCCAAGGGTTTTCTTGACCGCCTTTTGCAGTGGGCGCAGGTCACTCTTGACGCTGAGCCACGACTCATCATGGGAAGGTGGACAGAACGATTCCAGGGCGTGAAGGAGGTCCGCTCCGTGACTTTTGCCCCGGATGCCGCATGCTTTTGGTCAGCTTCAACGCCTCCTGCGGTGACAGGTTCCACATCCACAGCTCGTCCGCGATGCTGGCTCTCAGCGCGTCTGCTTTGCTCTGATCTTCGTCTGTTGGCTTGTTTTGCTTGCAGGCAACTGATGCCGACTGGCGAGTGTGGTCGCGAATTTTCTTTCGTCCGCCAAAACGCAACAGCCACTCGAGGAAAAAAGGAAAAGGAAAGGAGACAGAGAAGCAGAGGAAGCAGACACACACACACAAACACACAAACACACACACACACACACACACACAAACACACACACACACAACACACACACACACACAAGTACGATGGACTCACAAAGTCAAGATGAGCCGCTGGAGGACGACACGTTTCCTGACTGGTTTCAAAACGTGATCCAGTCCATCGAGGATGGATCCTGCGGAGATACAGTGAAGTGAGTTCTTCTTAGCTTCTTGTGCTGTCTTGCTTGGTGTAACCGCATGTTCAGATGTTCATGCTCACAATCGCACATGGTGCCTCCCGTTTTGCCCTCTTGCCTTATCTTGGATATGCATTCGGTGGTCTGCACAGCTCACAAGCAAATTTGTTTGGCTCATCATCGCTGTTTCTCTCTCGTGTCACCTGCGCAACGTGTATGCTGTGCTGGAAGCTTGACTCGTGCGAAACTGTCACAGGAGATGTGCCAGCGTCTGGCAGCAGCTCTGCTGAAGACTTCATACCCTTTGAAAACCCTGACGTGTGTCGTGTTTGCTGTGTTTGTGTCATGACATGTGTAAGAACAGCGTCACGTGTGCGGCTATTTGGGTGCTTGTGTACATGTGCAAACGGTTTCTTGTTCGACTGTGCCCATGTGTGATGGCCCTTGATTGACCCCTGTCACGACGTGGTGCTATTACACTCGTGCCTTGCAGCTTGGCCAGGAACCACATTGGCCCAGAAGACATGAAAGCACTTGCACCAGCACTTGGGAAGCTGCAGAGTCTACAGTCACTCAGGTACGTGTCACGTGCCTTGGCACAGATGCGTTGCGTGTGTTTGCTGCTCTTGTGTCATGGCATGTGCACAGCATCACTTGTGCAACGCTTTGGATGCTTGTGTGCATGTGCACATGATTGCTTGTTTGGCTGTGCTCATGTGTGATGGCTCTTGACTGCTGCTGTCACCTAACATGCGGTTATGGCACTCACCCTTTCTAGCTTGAGTGCCAACAACTTCGGCCCTGAAGAGATGAAGGCACTTGCACCATCACTTGGGAAGCTGCAGAGTCTACAGTCACTCAGGTACGTGTCACGTGCCTTGATACAGATGCGTTGCGTGCGTTTGCTGTATTTGTGTCATGGCATGTGCACAGCATCACTTGTGCAACGCTTTGGATGCTTGTGTGAATGTGCACATGATTGCTTATTCGGCTGTGCTCGTGTGTGATGGCCCTTGACTGCTGCTGTCACCTAACATGTGGTTATGGCACTCACCCTTTCTAGGTTGAGCCGCAACAGAATCGGCCCTGAAGAGATGAAGGTACTTGCACCAGCACTTGGGAAGCTGCAGAGTCTACAGTCACTCAAGTACGTTGCAATTGCCTTGATACAGATGTGTTGTGTGTTTGCTGTGTTTGTGTCATGACATGTGAGCGTGGCCCTTGACTGACCCCTGTCGCAACTTGATGCTGTGACTGTCTCTTTTTCTAGTTTGAGTGGTAACAGAATCGGCCCAGAAGGCATGAAGGCACTTGCACCAGCACTTGGGAAGCTGCAGAGTCTACAGTCACTCAGGTGCGTGTCACGTGCCTTGGCACAGATGCGTTGCGTGTGTTTGCTGCTCTTGTGTCATGACATGTGCACAGAATCACTTGTGCAACGCTTTGGATGCTTGTGTGAATGTGCACATGATTGCTTATTCGGCTGTGCTCGTGTGTGATGGCTCTTGACTGCTGCTGTCACCTAACATGCGGTTATGGCACTCACCCTTTCTAGCTTGAGTGCCAACAACTTCGGCCCTGAAGAGATGAAGGTACTTGCACCAGCACTTGAGAAGCTGCAGAGTCTACAGTCACTGGAGTACGTGTCACGTGCCTTGGCACAGATGCGTTGCGTGTGTTTGCTGTATTTGTGTCATGGCATGTGCACAGCATCACTTGTGCAACGCTTTGGATGCTTGTGTGCATGTGCACATGATTGCTTGTTTGGCTGTGCTCATGTGTGATGGCCCTTGACTGCTGTTGTCACCTAACATGCGGTTATGGCACTCATCCTTTCTAGTTTGAGTGACAACCAAATTCGCCCTGAAGGCATGAGGGCACTTGCACCGGCACTTAAGAACCTGAAGAGCCTACAGTCACTCAGGTACGTGTCACGTGTCTTGGTACAGATGCGTTGTGTGCTTGCTGTGCTTGTGCTTGTGCTGTGTGCACACCATCACTTGTGCCACGTGTTGGTACTTCTGTGTATGTGCACTGATGATTGCTTGTTCGGTTGTGCTTATGTGTGATTGATTGCCCTTGACGGATCCTTGTCGCAACTTGCTTCCATGACTGTCACCCTTTCTAGTTTGAGGTACAACCAAATTGGATCAGAAGGCATGAAGGCACTTGCACCAGCACTTGAGAACCTGAAGAGCCTACAGTCACTCGAGTATGTTAATATTTACTTGGTGCAGATGCGTTGTGTGTTTGCTGTGCTTGTGCTTTGACACGTGTGTGTGTGGCATCACCTGTGCAACGTGTTAGTACTTCTGTACATGTGCACTGATGATTGCTTGTTCGGTTGTGCTCATGTGTGATTGATTGTCCTTGACGGATTCCTGTCGCAACTTGTTTCCATGACTGTCGCCTTTTCTAGTTTGAGTGGCAACAGCATTGGCCCAGAAGGCATGAAGGCACTTGCACCAGCACTTGGGCAGCTGCAGAGTCTACAGTCACTCAGGTATGTTACTATTGACTTGGTGCAGATGCGTTGTGTGTTTGCTGTGCTTGTGCTTTAACACGTGCGTTTGTGTGGTATCACCTGTGCAACGCTTTGGATGCTTGTGTACATGTGCAAACGGTTTCTTGTTCGGCTGTGCTCATGTGTGATGGCTCTTGACCGATCCCTGTCACTACGTGGTGCTATTACACTCGTGCCTTGCAGCTTGGCTAGGAACCACATTGGCCCAGAAGGCATGAAGGCACTTGCACCAGCACTTGAGCAGCTGAAGAGTCTGCAGTCACTCAGGTATGTTACAATTGCCTTGGTACAGATGTGTTGCGTGTGTTTGCTGTATTTGTGTCATGACATGTGCGCAGCATCACTTGTGCAACGCTTTGGATGCTTGTGTGAATGTGCACATGATTGCTGATTCGGCTGTGCTCATGTGTGATGGCCCTTGACTGACCCCTGTCGCAACTTGATGCTGTGACTGTCACCTTTTTCCTAGTTTGAGTGGCAACGACTTTGGACCAGAAGGCATGAAGGCACTTGCACCATCACTTGGGAAGCTGCAGAATCTACAGTCACTCGAGTGAGTGTCTGCGGTGGGGTTGCAAGCAACACGTTTCAGCTCTTCTTGTTGTTGCAGTATCCTTGCTTGTGCTGTGGGCTTCCATGTTGCCGTGAATTTCGTTCACTTTGCCAATTCTGTGTTTAGCATGCCTCAGATTTTGACAAACATGTGACTGATGCGATTCTCTCTTGCGCGGCAACAACAGCCTTGACTCCTGCGGCATAACCGTCCTGACCACGGACTTCCTCCACACCGAACACATTCCCAACATCCGCTTCGGCTTCGATCCCATCGCCTACCCACCACCCTCAATCATCACGTTTGGCCGACCTGCCATCTACGCCTACCTCCGTGATGTTCAACGAGGCCACGAACTGCTGACGCGATCGCGGCTCGTCTTCATTGGTGATGGCGGTGTCGGCAAGACCACGCTCAAGACAGCGCTTCTCATGCTCCACAACAAAAGCAAGCATCGAACGAAGTTGCTCAAAAAGGTTCAAGGGGCAGCAAAGGCAGCGTTCAAACACTACACTGAGGCCGATTTTCGGCACTGGATCGACAAGGACCTTGCGCAACAGGATGGCTTCTTCGACAAGCACTTTCTCGACGCACGCGACGTCACGGGCGACGATTTCCTGACGTGTTCGAAGCAGGAGCTGAAGGATACCATCTTCTGCAGTGAGAGCCGAGGGCAGGCAGTGAAGCGTGTGCAGCGAAAGCTCGCGGATGTGCACCGGTTTCTGCTTGCCGAAGACGTGACGTTGCACTTGAGTCAGAGGCGACCCTTTCAGCTGCTGCTCCAAATCCCACACGTGTGGACAGAAGGCGTTCACGTGGATGAGTGGCGCATTTCAAAAACACACCATGAGGACGACCCCACAAGCACGACCAGATTCGACTTGTGGGATTTTGCTGGCCAGCTTGAGTTCTTCCCTGCCCACCAGCTCTTCATGGCCTCGCACATGGCCGTGTACATTCTGGTGTTCGATGCCTCCAAGGGTTTCAAGCATGCGCATGCTCGCATTCGCGTATGGTTGGACCTGCTCGAGGCATGCCTTCCATACAACGGTGATGGTGCTGCAGATGCCATCCAAGTGCGGCTTGTCGCCACCAAGACCGATTGTGCGCGTGAGGATTTGGGCCTGCAGCATCTGCTGCAAACACTTCAGCGCCGTGTCGGCAAGCGGTTTGACCTTGGAAGCCGCTGCTTCGCCACGCGCTACAACGAGCCAGATGGCGGAGATCTGACCGCGCTGGATGCAGAGCTGTGGGCACTGCGCAAGCAAGGGGTGCCGTACTTCCAAGTGCCCAAGGCGTACATGGCGATCAAGGAGGGCGTGGAAAAGTTGGCGAGACACAAGGAGGTGAAGGGGTGGCCTGTTGTTTCAATCCAAGATTGACGTCAAAGGCAAGGACCGTGACCTGATTCTTGGCTTCCTCCAAGATGCTGGCGTTGTGCGGCGTATCCCCTCTGACAAGGACGAGTGTGTGGTCAAACCAGTCACGTGGCTGAGCAAGCTGATGGCTTCCATCTTGCACCCACTTCATGGTCTGAAGATGGCACGTGCTGCGGATGATTCAAGCGACCGTACTTTCCTGCCTGGCGTTGAGGGTTCCGAAGCTGCCAGTGTGTTGTCATGCCGTGATGTACCCGTTCCAGTTGAGCGTGGGCAAGGTTTGCTTCCATTTCTGGCGTCCTTCGGTGTTTGCTTTCCTCTGGATGGCCAGCGATACACCTTCCCCGCTCTGTTGCCGCGCGCACGTGTGCATGGGAAGATCGTGGAGCGACTCAACGCTCGTGCCGATGCTCATGGCGCTGGCATTGCCGGACGTCGTCTGCAGTGCTTGGACGAGCAGCAGTTTCTGCCGCCAACGTGCTGGCCGGCCGTGGTGAAGGGATTATTTTATGTTGTGAAAGAGCTGAATGGAGACGCCTTGCACTTGAGCAAGGGCATATTTGTGGCGAAGATGAGCGACAACAGCTACCTCGCCACATGTGTGACGGATGTCAAGCACAGACGTGCGCTGGACGTCGTCGCGGTGGGCGCTGACTCATTTCTGCTTCATCTGGCCATGCTCGTGGTTGTAGACGCTCTGCACAAACAGTTTCCATCACTTCGACTCCAGAAGCGCTGCCTACTGGTGGCCGGTGCTGATGATCACGAACGAGAACACCACGTGTTGCTGAAACGTGCTATCACAACGCGGGCTGTTCACACGGCGGTGAAGTCGACAAGTGAGGCTTTGGAAGGACTTGCTGCTCCCGCAGGAGTAACACCGCAACTGCATCAACTTTACGTTCGACGCTTGGAGCAGTCGAAGCTGGTATTCAGGGATCGCGACTCTGGCTCATTGAGGCTCGTGTACTTTCATGAGCACTGGCTCGCACTCCTGACAGACCCGGAGCTTGTGAAAGAGAAGAACATCCCAGAGGCGAGGCAGACAGCGAAGATGTGGCAGCTGTTTGCGGACGTTGAACGCGAGATTTTCTTTTTAAGCGATGCGGAAATGAACAACCTTGCCACGCGCTGTGGGATGAAAGACACCCGAAAGTTAGATGGACTAGGCCTCATCCATTGGCTGAAATCAAACTGCCCAAAAGGCAGCAACCTGCCGTACCTTTCACCCGACAGCGACCTGGAGCCGCTGCGAGCAGCTGCTGAGGGCGCTCTTGGTGAACGGCACAATATTTGTGTCAACACGCGCGAATGGCAGCGATTATTTCAGAAGGAAAACGCCTGACCACTGCGTGTGTGACCCTGTTGTTGCTTTGAGTATTGTTCATTTGCATGCTTCACTTCTCCCTCGTAGCTCTCATTCATTCTGTCCTCCTGCGTTCAATACCATTCACCATTCCTCCCTCCGGCTGCTTCATCTTCATCAATACATCCGTTTGGATCCCTTGACTACGACAATAAATCAACACAACCTCAAAGCTTTCCGACCTCCCCAAAGCTCTGAAGTAGCACCACAGCATATCCCCACTCCCAAGTCAATTCTCTTGCTTCCATATGTTCATCCAGCAACTGCTTCATCTCTGTCGCGTCGGGAAATGAAACGAACTTCCAGTTGCAGTCGTTGGCACTTACACTACAGCGACGTAACAGGGTGCGCAGCCTCTTGTTGATTGATCTTGCATTCCTGAAAGATGAGATCTGATGCTGCACGTGTGCATGTACAACAGTCGTGTAAATCGTTCAGCTGCTGCAGCGACGCTGCACACAAGTGAAGTGCCGACCTGATGATGCGGGCTACAACACATCCACTTCCGCCTCGCTAGTGCGTTGACAGAAAATGTGTTTGGCAATCAGAATTCACAACACAACACATTGCTGTTTGTCCCATTTATGTTCCTCGTCACGACACCACAATCACACAATCACACGCCACCGTTTCACTCACACAACCTTGTCATGTCGCACCGCATGACCGTGTCATCCCGGGTGCCAAGAAACATGCTGTCTTCAACACACGAGGGCGTGCCAAACACATGGCTGCCAAACTGGCACACAGAACGGCTGCAACCACGCTTGCCATCCCTTTGGCCCAGCTCCTCCCTAAACAGCGGCAGCAAGAACAAGTGCCCGTCTGTCGTCACGACGGCAACTTGGGCCACATCATCATCACCATCATCATCTCCACTGGGATAAACGATCGTGGCGTTGGCGGTGATGCTGTGCTCGCCAACAGCACGCCGCCACAGCACATCCCCGTGGCCACTGAGCGCAACGACTGCCCCAGCTTTGGTGCACACGATGATGAGCCACTGGCCGGTGGTGGTCACCGCACTCGCGCGACAATTGCCGTGTTCGTCTCTGTCTCTTGAGGGCACGGGTGCTGGTGCTGTGGATGTGTCCGGGTCTTCACGGGAAGATGAAGATGAGCGCAGCGGCATAACAACAGCGGCGAGGGGCGCGGCAAAGACGTCTGCGTCCGCATTGAAGCGCCACAGCAACTGTCCTTGCACAGCATGCATGCACATCACCACCCCGTTCACCAGGCAGATGAGCACATGCGGCGGGCTGCTTCCCGCTTGTGCCAGCGCAACCGGTGCAGCGAATATGGGGTGGGTGGCCTCGTGTCTCCAAAGCAGATGCTCCAGCATTGTGCAGGTCCTGCCATCTCCGCCAGCTCCAGGTTTCCCATCGCCCTCGTAGTCATACTGAAAGCACGTCACGTGACCCCGCAGCGATGCTGTGATGCACAGCGTCATTGTTCCTCGCCTGCTACTGCTGCTGGTACTGGTACTGGTGGTGGTGGTGGTGACAGGAGAAGACCCGTGTCGTGGACTGCTTGCTTGTTTGCGCAACATGGCTGCTGCTTCTTCTTCGATGACGGCTGTGTCCATGTGAGTGCGTTCATAATCCCTCTCCCCCTCCTCGCCCGGTGCTTGCAAGCATCTGAGCAAGCACGGCGGGGCGGCGAGGGGACCACCTTGAGTGGTTGGCGCTGGATGGCGGCATGCAAAGCACGTGCGGCGGTTGGGATCAAGTGCATACAGGCGCCCGTCATAGCACGCGACGAAGAAGAGGCGGGACCCCAGATCGTAGCGGATGGGCGATCGAACTGCATCAGGGAGCGCCGTGGAAAACCAGCGCTCGCCCGTGACGGCGCCATAGACGCGCACCTCCCCAGTGTAGCAGCCCACCGCCACGAACCGCCCGCATGAGGAAATGCACGCCGTGGATTCAATGCGCCCGTCAAAGGTGTCCTTCCACAGCACGGCACCGGACGCTGCGTCCAGGCACGCGAAGATGCCGGCGTGGCTGCCAATGTACACGCGGCGCTGCGGATGTGCGCCCGTCTCATCGTCATCGCACACGTGCAGGGTTGGGCTTGCATCCACACACGCACCCATGTCCTGCGTCCACCGCACATGGCACGAACAAGCAGCTGGCGACGTGGCCGGGTCAGCGACAATGTCAGCCGCGGTGTGGGTCTGTGTCTGGGTGGGTGTGGGAGGGTGCCTGGCTCTGGTTCTCACCACAGTCACGTTCTCGCAGGCCCAAACGCCTTGATTTGCTGTGTTGTGGGCGCCCTGGTTGTCATCATCATGTGTGGTGGGTGCAGTGCGAGCGTGCCACACGCGGGATATGACACGTCCAGGCGGCAGTGACGGTGGGAGCGGTGACAACACCACTGACGCTGCTGGTGTTGTGTCTGCTGGTGTGCTGTCTGTTGGTGCCGTGTGTTTTGATGTGGTATTGTTGAGTGCAGTCGCACGACCTCGTTGCATCTTGGCTTGCTTGGGTGGTGGTGGTGAATCCAACACCAATGCTGCCTCAGTTCGTTGTTGTTGCTGTTGTTGGCGCTTGGTGCTGGAGGATGCAGCCACATGGTCAGCACTCCGCGTCACATCCGATCGACTGCCAGCACCGCGGTGGTCAGCAGGCGTCGCCATGGCAAGCAGTTTGTGGGCGCACGCGTCCAGGGTGTCGTTCATGAGGGAGTGCAGCATGGCCGTGTACACAACACCGGGTACGGCCTCCAGTTGTCTGCACACATCCGCAGCCGCGAGCGAGTCTCCACCAGCGCTTGCAAACGACACTGCACCCCAGCCGGCCACCAGCGGCGATGGAACGCACACGCCCGCTGCTTCCATCGCACACTGCAACACCTCCTTCGCTCGCAATAGCGTCCACGACTGCAATGTGTGTGTATGTGTGAGAGTGTATGTGTGTGTGTGGTGAGTGAGATTATGTGCACGACATGATCAGCACCCTTGCTCTATCAAGACACCAAAGCACCCTTGTTTGACTCACATGATGGGCAGCTGCGTGCTTGTGTGTAGCCATGTTCTTCTCCACGAGCGATGCGTAGTGGCGCTGACACAGCTGGAATCCACAAGCAGCACGCGTGCATGTGAGACTTGCGAGAGATGGCCGTAATCTCTGCAATCGACAGTCCCACACGTGAGGTCATCATGGATAAATATGAAGGAGAAACGCGTCATCATTGCACCTTGCCGTGGGAGGTGGTTGTCAGCGTTGGTGTTGTTACAATGGCATCAACATCGACACCAAAGGTCTCTCGCAAGCGGCGGTTGAGCGCAGACAGGGCTGTTCATGTGTTCATGTGTGTGTGCGAGCGTGAAGGGGGAGATGGATGAGAAGCAGCTGGGCGATGAAATGGAAACAACGACGTACGTTAGTTTGGCGCAGATACACACACACACACACCTGCGTCCGTGACAACGTGTTCGTTCGATGCCGCTGCTATCGCTGTCGCTGCTGCTGAGTGCGGTGCTTCGGTGCCGGTGGCGCAGACACCAACAAGCCGATGCCTGCAAGCAACGCTGCCTGCAGTCTGGTAACGGAGGCAGGCGGCATGGCGCGTGTTGGGCCAGTGCACCTTCAGCCATCGCGCTACCGCGTCCAGCCACACCCGCTTCCCTCGCACTTTCACCTTGCGTGCAGGAACGTGTTCATGTGCACAGATGCGTGTGCGTGTGTGTGTGTGAGTCATCATGTGCACAGGCGTGTGCGTGTGCGTGTAAGGTCCAGGATTCAGCGGGAAAGAGTGTACTCACACGATACTTGTCAGAGGAGAACTGATATAAACCGCCGGACCTTCCTTTTGTTTGCTGCGGCGTTACAGTATATGCCCCAATATGGCCAGTTACGTCTTTTTGTGCCTGGATCAGTGTATGTGGAACCAAATTGGCTTCGCCCGCTCTTCGCAATACATTCGTATGTTCTACTATGTGTGTGTGTGTGTGTGTGTGTGTGTGTGTGTGTGTGTGTGTGTGTGTGTGTGTGTGAGTCATCATGTGCACAGGCGTGTGCGTGTGCTTGTGCGAGTCATGTGCATGGCACAAACAGTCACACGTCACGTCCAGATCTTCAGCCACCAACCGTAACACCCCTCATCCCCACTCCTCGCTGACCATATCATCGCTGCGGCCCAAGATTTGGAAGAACGGTCGGGTTGTCCTCGCAGCGGCGAGGAGGCGGCGCAGCAGCTCGGCATCAGCGACACGCGCGCACACGTCGCCCGTCGACCACAACCTGCAATGCAACCGTACGCACGTGTGTGTGTGCATGTGTGTGTGTGTGAATGTGTGTGAATGTGTGTGAATGTGTGGGTTGGAGAAGGGATGTGCACAGAAGGTAGCGTGTGGGGTGGCTTGGGGTCGTACATTGCATACTTGACTATGTGTGCAGTGTACCCGTGATGCGTTGATGGTGGTGTGTTGTTGTTGTTGTTGTTGTTATCACTGACGAGACAGCTGCGGTATTCACCGCCTACAAACAGGACGCCCTTATCGTTCAACTGGAAGCACACACAATCACATGTGGACAACAGATGTGCTCAAGTCAACTCTGAAAGTGCGTCGCGTGGGGAGAGCACGGATCCATGCGCTTGCAAGGACACAATCACACACACACACACACACACACACACACGCACGCACGCACGCACGCACACACACACACACACACACACACACACACACACGCACGCACCTGTGTTTTGACGCTGGGGAGAGGAAAGCCGATTGGCAGGGCCGTGTTGATTGAAATGCACCTCTCAACAACAGGCCTGGTCACAGGGCACAACAACTGCCACACCGCACGCTCTGTACGTGTCGTATGTGTGTGTGTGTTGAACGTAATGTAAGCCCGTGTTAGAACACGTATCATGTGATGTTCATACACAGGCACAAATACACACAACACACACACACACACACAACACACACACATATATGCGCACACCTGTGATGCCGTAGATGTTCCAGAGGCGGCAGCGGTGCGACCAGTTCCAGGCCGGGAGGAGCGCGGTGGGCGATGGGAACATTTCTCCACCAACAAAGAGATGGCGCAGGTGACAGGAAGGAGGCGGAAATGCACTCGTGCCGTCGCCGACAGCTGGCGCTGCTGGTGTGGATTGTGATTGCAACAGCCTGCACGAAAGAGGGAATGACGGTGATGTGGACCATGTGATCATGTGATCATGTGATCGTGTGGGTGTGACTGTGTGAGGGATGAATTGCACAGTGTGGTGGATGTGTGGAAGCTTGGCTAGCTGGTGCCATGTGACATTTGATTTTGCCTGTTGCGATGGCACGTGTCAGTTGTCAGCGAGCACATGCACAGTGCTGTGTCCAGCATCGATTGGAACTGACTCTGTGAAGACGGTGGTGACCATGCACGCGTATGTGACGCGCAGAGCAGTGAACGCCTCCAGCAGCAAGTCACCGGCCATCTGAAGACGTGAAGTGCGGGCGGTGCTGTTCTGCTTTGAGCGCAAGACTGTTGCAAGAACACATATGTTTACACGCACACACACACACACGTACACACACACGTACACACACACACACACACGCACAGACACACACACTCACTCACGTCAGCACAATGTGCAGGGCCGCGCGTCTCGCTGCCGACTCACGGGGATGGAGGGGTGGAGGAGGACGAGGGAGGCGCCGGTGCGGAGCGCAAGGAAGACGTCCAGCACGTGGGGGTCAAACGTGGGCGGTGACATGACAGCAATGACATCGTCCGAGCTCAATTCTGGCCATAGCAAGTGTTTGGTGCAGGTGATCGCAATGAAAACACAGTGATGGAGCCAGCACAAGATGTTGTCAGATACACACACACACACAAACACACACACACACACACAAATACACACACACACACACACACACACACACAAATACACATGTGCTCACCAGCGTATTGTTGAATGTCGTTTATGACTGTGGCGATGGTGGTGTATGTTCCAGAGACGGTCTTTGGAGCGCCGCTTGTGCCTGATGTGGGCACGCGATATAAATACGGTTCAGGCTGGTGTTGAGTTGGCTCGGACCGAGCTGGGCGATAGAGGTGCAATATTGCGGTGATGCTGGACATGTGTTGTTGAGGGGGCGAAGACGGCTGTGGCATGTCTGCACCAGCTGGGTGTACCTCCTCCGCCACCAGCGTCACTGTTCCAAACAAGTCATCTCGATGACTCGGGGCATCGGTCACGTACACGGCCGTGTCGTGCGCTTCATCCTGCTTTGCTGCGCTGAACGTACACCCAGCTTCGCGACACCTTTTTGGGTGGGTTGGACGACACAAGCCACACGTGAGTGATGCGATGCGGCTGTGGAAGCTGATCATGGAAGCCGGTTGTGAAAGTCGGTGATGAATGCTCCTTTTCCTTACACGCACCCGCGAAAGCAGGCAAAACACACGCACAAAGCCACACAAGTGCACACACACGCTGTATTGGCTTGGGGAGTTGAACTCACGAAGCGAGGAGAATTGGAGCACACCAGTATGGTGCGGCGTGTGTACACACAACGGACCCAGCCACTTGATTCAGAAGTGCAGCGACCTAGAGTACAGTTGGAACATGAGTGTACGTACATTCATGAGGTTGAGGTTGCAGCAAGCACGCACGCAACTTCTTGACACACAAACACGCACACACACACATGCACACACATACACACGCACACACACACATGCACACGCTTGTTCGCACCTCAGCGATGGCTGTGGCGACTGCTGAAGGTGATATGCAGTAGTACTGCAACATCCTTTCAACCACACTCACGGGTGCACTCACGAATGCACGCATAGGTGCTTCGGGGCTGACATCAGCCGTTGCATCCTCAACGTCAACACGACGACCACCCCGCTCCACAACCCACAAGCACGACTCAAGATTGACTGAGCTGGTCATCACGTTCCGCCGTCATGCTGAAATCTGTATGATAATGTCCACAAATCTTCCACAATCGCACCAAACCAAAACAGCCAACGAAAGAAAGAAAGCAAGTTCGATGGCTGAGCGGGTTGTGGCTGAGGTGGTGGCAGACGCCCTTGCAAGCAGTGAAGGATCGGTGGCAGCAGCGGACGATGAGGGCGAGGTACCACTGGTCAACATCCACGCAGGAGACGAGCGAGCAAGGAGGGAGCAGGCTCGCCAGCGGGTGCTGGGCATGCTTGGCGAGGACTTTTTGCCAGTCGCACAGTTTGCACCAACTAAGTCAACCACACATTTCCCTCACTCGATGCAACACCGCGAGCCTTGAGCTTCGTCACCAGTCGTCTTGTTGCTGTGCGTATTTGGGGGTTGTATTGTATGATGTGTACGGAGGCTGGATGGGCTTGAGCGGAAGACACGAAGCAAGCCTGTTGGTTTGCAAGCCAGCGCAGCCAGCAAAGAAATAAAATTGGTGCATGGGATGTGATTACATCACGAGGATGGCATGTGTATGCGTATGTGAGCGAGGAGTGGCTGTGTGCAGCATGCTCGTGTGCGTTCTGGTGTTTACTGGAGCTCCTTGGGGAGGGCCTTGCCGGCAGCGAGGGCTTTCTCAGCCTCGATGAGGACGTTCACGCCATCAATCATTGTCTGCACAAGGGCAACCTGCAATGTGGCGGTCCAAGCGTGGTTTCAGGCGAGAAAATGAGTAAGTGAGTGTGTGAGTGTGAGTGTGTGAGTGTGAGTGTGAGTGTGTGAGTGTGAGTGTGAGTGTGTGAGCGTGCGGGGGTGGAAGGTGTCAGTGTGAGTGTGAGGGTGACGGCGTGCTGAGTGAGCATCAGCATCAGCGTCAAGCCATTGGGCGGCGTGAGTGTACGTACCTCGGACTTGCCGAGACGCTCCTTGTTGGAGATGTCGTAGATGCCGCCAGTGCTCTCGCTGTGCTCGCCGTGAATGCCACGCGGCTGCAGGAGATGGAGGAGGAGGAGGAGGAGGTGAACAGTAGTCGTGGGCGGTGGTGTGAAGCCGGGGAAGGTGAGGATTGGTGAGTGAACAGCGGCTGGGGATATAAGGGGGGGGGGAGGCGGCACACACAAGCAAGACACAGGAACAGAGACAGACACACAGCCACAGAAACACAACCCTACAACACACGCAACACAGCACACCCACACACGTTGGCATGCCTGCGTACCTGGAGGCGGAGCTTCTCGCACCACTGCTTGAAGTCGGGGTGCTTGCCAACGTTGGGGATCTTCACGTGGACAGATGCGCGCATGCCCGTGCCGCAGTTGGTGGGGCAGCTGATGGTGGTGATGACGATAACAGTGATGTAGCAAGTGAGGGGGTGAGGAGAGAGAGAGAGTAAAGAGTGGGTGGAAGTCTGCATGAATGTGAGGAAAAACAACAACCGAGTTGGTACGCAGGACGACGCCAACGACGAACCAACACCAGTTGGGTCATCGGGTACCTGTGGATGTATCCGAGGTGGTCGTTGTGTGCAAACTCGCGTCCGGCGGCCTTCACCTGCTTCTCAATTGCGTCAATACCGCGAGCAAGGCGCTCAAACACCTGCATACATGCACCAGAGGCAGTGGTGACGTGAGTATGTGTGTGCGATGTGTGTGTGTGCGATGTTGTGTGCGATGTTGTGTGTGTGTGTGTGTGTGCGTGTGTGTGTGCGTGTGTGTGTGCGATGTGTGTGACGTGCGATATATGTGTGTGGGTGTGATGTGATGGCGTGAGCGTGTGGAGGCATGAGGCAAAGACATGAAGAAAATCATCATGCAGGATTGCCGACCTGCTTTGCGTCGCCGCCCTTCTGCATGGAGATGATGCGCATCTGGTCCTCCTCATTCACCCACACAAGGAACGTCTTCTCGTTGTTGTGGAAGATGCCACGGGACTCGGGCCAGTCGCCTGAAATGCGGTGGTTTGAAGTGGTTTGAAGCGGTTTGAAGTGGTATGTGGTGAGGGGGGAGAAGGCGAATGCGCGTGAAGACACATCACAACTACAAACAGCAATGATGCTAGGTACTGAGTGGCACGAGAAACGCACACACACACACACAAACACACGCGCGCGCGCGCCGCAGGGTATACAACGTACGGTTGGCGCCGGCAGACTCGAGGAAGCGGTCGCCCTTCTTGAAGAGGAAATGATCGGCAACGAGCTGCTTGCGGTCCGCCTCAGACATGCCATCAAGCGGGTAGTACCTGCATAGATGGGGATGAAGAAGGCGAACAGATGGGATGGGGTGTATGGTGGAATGTAAGAGAACGGTGTGAGATGAGGGTGGATGAAAAGAGCCGCGCACACAAAACAATCAAAACAAAACGTTGGGCCACTGCATCAGTGGCGCACGCAACAACAGACGCCACAAACACCGCCACCAGCAACAACAGGGGGGGGGGTACGTACTTGCCGGCGAGGTCGCCCTCGAGCTGCGAGACGGCGCCGGTGACGAGGCGCTCCACCTCCCTGCGCTGCGCACGCGTGCAGCCGGGGGACAGGCCCAGCCCGCGGATGTTGCGGCCAACGCGGATGCGCGTGGACAGCACGTACTCGCCCTTGGGGTCAATCGTGCCCGCAAGCTAAGAGGGGTTGGAACGGGGAGGGGGTAGTGTGTGAGTGAGTGTGAGTGTGAGTGAGTGTGTGTGTGTGTGTGTGTGTGTGTGTGTGTGTGTGTGTGTGTGTGTGTG